GGACGGGACACAGGCTGCTGGTTTTAAGTAACCCCCACTGAGTACTCTTGATACAACGGACTGGGCGAAGACCGCTGCTGAGGACTACCGCTGAGACTGAGCGAGACTGCGGTTGTGGGTGGCGGCTGCTGCTGCTGTTAACCTCCACTGTGTATTGCCACAATATCTGAGGGTCAGGGCATAGTGTTGGGCAACTGCAGTTGGACTTAGAGGAGTAGTTGAGCTTAGGGTGGGAACCTGGCCCTGCGAGTTGGAAGACCGCCAGGGGAGGTTACTTCGGCGATCTGGCTTCATTGGTCAAGCTGTCGGATTGGCCGCCATTGCGGGGCCCTCAGGCGAACCAAGATAACAAGCCCCCTCACGCGAGTCTGAGTGCACCCCTCTGAGAGTCTCTATACATTCCCTATCTATTTTTCTTACTCCAGGTCTAGTCAATTGGTTACGAGGGGAAGGCGGCAGGCGGGATTGCAACCCGTAGGTCCGCATCAAGACTCTGTGGGGAGTCCTCCCACCGATTGCGGGAACTCTGCCGGAACCTACGCGAGGTTCTGGAGGCAGGGAACCATTAGGTAATCTCTTTCTATTTGTATACCCCACTACACCCATGTTTGCTTATCCCCTATAGCTTGACTGATGTATGCATGCCTGTCCCTCTGATTTTTCGCTTCTATTCAAGACTTAACCGGACAAAGTAAAGGAAGGCATGTATAATGTCAGTTTCAACTTCTTTGCCTGATTGAAAGCAGATTGTGGGATTGCATCTGGGGGAAGGGTGGGAGAAAGACAGTATTGCATGAAGTTTGACTGGGTCAACCAAAGGCTGGGTCAGTTCCATAAGTTTGGGAAGGCCCAGTGCTGTGTTTTATTTTGTATTGCCTGGAGAACCAGACAAATCCATAAGTTTGGGTGGTCTGGTGGCTCTGACTTGTGAGGGCTGAATGTGATTGCTTCTTCAGGCGCTAGTCAAATCCATAAGTTTGGATAGTCTGGCGACCTTGTTTATTTGGGGTTTTTGACAGTTTCTTTGGTTTCTGAACGAGGAGGTGAGCATGTCCCATAAGTTTGGGTGGCCCTACCTCTTCTTGGTTTGGTCTAAGAGAAATAAACCAGGCTGAGGACCAAGACATGTTCCATAAGTTTGGGTGGTCTTGGTCCAACGCCTCGCACATGCCGGAACCGGAAGGCTATAACTTTGATATACTTTACTATTATACTATCTATGAACAGGCTAGTCAGGCAGGGTTCCATAAGTTTGGGTGGCCTGACTATAGCTTATCACCAACTGAAGAGAGTACTTAACTAAGAATAAACTTGTGGTACGAAGGGGCAAGCTGAGTCTTGACCTGAAGATGATCGGCTCAGCTATATGCTACCTCAAAAGACTAAGTACAAACAATTATATAAACCTTGGATACTTGAGCAGTTCAGGGCGACTAGGATGACCTAGTCATATGCCCAAAGAAGAGAAAAATTGTTGTGCCCTGTGTTTGTGTATACTTCTTGGTTGGGCTAGACATGTTCCATAAGTTCGGGTGGTCTAGCCTTATGCCCTAGGTAAGCTGGGTATAAGGGATAAATCATTGAAAGACTACGAACTATTGGTTGCTAAGGTAACTTGGGGATGGTGAGAGAGTGCATGTCTGTAGTTTGGCCTGCATGTGACTGAGTGATGCCACTTCTTAGTCTGAACTTGGATTTGATAGGTAGTTGCTGTAGTTGCTCGCCACGTGCTAGAGCCATAGGAGTTAGAGTCATTTCCTCCATTTTTTGGGCTCGTTTCTCTCTACTTAGGTCGATTTCTGCATTTTTCTGGGATCTTTTTCATACAGAATTTGGGGAGCCTCCTGTTATAAAAGAGATGCTGCCCAAATTTTTGCTAATTCAGGGGGTTGGTCAAAATTGGGCCCTGAAGTATCAAAGTCATTTTTTAGATTCCAAACTTAGCTTTGTATAAATCTTGGACTAACACTTTCTCTACGGGAAGCGCTGCCGAAATTTATGCAAATCTAAGGAGTTGGTTGAGATTCTATCCGACAGAACTTGGACTTTATGTCTAAGTTCAAATCTGCCTTAGTATGAATCTGGGAAGCCTCCCCCTTTGAAGGAAATGCTACCCAAATTTTTGCTAGGTCGGGGAGTTAGACAAATTTGGACTTCTGGGATCCAAAGTTTGACTTTTTGGACTAGTATATTTTTTGCGATGTCACTTTTCCTACGGGGAGCGCTGCCGAAATTTTTCTAAGTTAGAGGAGTTAGCCCATATTTGGACAAGTGGTGACCTATATAGAGGAGGCTATGGCGAGGTCCGCCTTACGCTGGGTGCTATCTAGGGGTGGACCTAGACTTGGTTAGAAATGACGGCTCGAGTAAGGTTAGGGTGTGGAGATTACTCTCCCTGAGCGTGTAGACTTAGCTTGAGATTGGTCTGGCTTGTGTCACAGGTCTCTTGAATCAAGTCGCTTCAGGACGTGGGCTGGACTCAGCTTGATCCTGTTGGGATCACCTTCTGTTATCACAGATAACAGGTCGGATGCCGATTCATCGGTTTACGACTCAACCTCAACCCACTCTCCTTACTCAACCTAAAGAGGCTTCAACCCCGGTGATCATTTCTGTTTTGTTAAGGTTTCACCCGGACTTTTATTGAATGGCCATTTAACAAAGGTACTGAGTATTTACTTAAGGTTGGTTGGCTGGGGGTTGGGGCTTGCATGGCTGAGGCAAAGGGTATGAGCATAGAGATTGGTTGGAGTTGACTCCGTGTAGTGTATGGATTTGTGCTTGACTCGTTGATCTGATTGCAGGTATGTTCTGGGGGCTTGGATTATTGGATTGGATTGCCCTGCGATCTTATATATATGTATGGCTATGAGGAGGCCCACTACGATTGTGAGATGTGATCATCACCCGTTCATTCCCATATGAGTATATATGTGTGTATACATGTATGTATGCGTACCTATGTAGGGTACTTGTGTGGCTTAAAAGGGCCCGCGTGCTAAGGAGTTAATCAGGGGTTGGGCTAGTAGAGAAAGGATGACCCCATTACTTATATAAGTGCTTCTTGAAGATTGCTAGTCGGGCGTTGGTCCTGGGCCGGGATTCAAGGTCCTTGTCCAGGACATCCTAAGCCCTAGGCTCTGCACTGAAGGGGACCCCCCTCGGCCAGAGCCTATTTGCCTTGACCGCCAGGGCACTCGGGCCGAAAGTCGGACGTGCCACGGTGGCCGCATGGCTAGTCCTTCAGCCGTGCAATGTCGTGAAGGGCGGAACCTTCACGATACTTCGAGTCTGACACGTGAGTGTCATAAGCGGTACTCGGATCCACGAGGGACCGCTCGATTATGGGCACTGCATAGTACGCCATCTTCGCGACTGCTTGTGTGCGTTGGCATTGCTAGCCGATATGAGAAGGCCTACGCCCGCGCAACTTTATATTAAGTCTCGCGCACGATGCTCAGCCGATTCCCGCACCAGGAAGTTATGGGATGGATACTAAGGGACTAGGAGGGTGTCGCGTTGTACGTCTCTTGCGTCGTTCAGTACTCGTGTGCGTGTGTGCGTGTGCTTTACTTTTATGTACCTTATAGTGGTGTGCGCGTGGCGTGTGGGATACGTCCTAGTCGACCGGCGACGAGCCGCGATTGGGACCTCAGCCCCCCAAGATGTCGGTTCGCGTGCGGGTCCGATAGAGGCGTAGTACCGCGCGTGCCCCTTATGCTACAGCGAACGAGAAACGCCCTCGGCTGGTCCACCTCTACAATTGCAGCTGATCAGCTTTCGTACCGTGGACTGGTAGCTCGGCGGGGATACGCCCACCGAAGGGAGGTGACAGCTCCCGTAAGGTGGAGGTAGTCGTGCCTCGCGTAGGCCCTGTCCTGTCGTAGGGGCTCGCGAGAGGTATGGCTGGCGCACCCGGCCGGAGCGGCTTATGGAAGCTCCGTGTATGTACCACAACGGGATGTGTACTCTGACTCCTGCGTGACGCGGCCGGGAGGGTCCCGCCCTACCTCTGAGTGGTGTCGGGCCGATGCGCTCGACAACGTACCTGTGAAGACCGTTGTGCAGTCCAACGAAGAAGAAGAAGAAGGCCATAGCCGCGGAGCTCCACCACAGAGTAACGAAGGAGGTGCAAGAGAGGACTGAGGGAGAGACTGAGGAGAGAAGTGAAGCGGAGGAAGAAGAAGGGAAACACGAGAACAAAAAAAAAAAAAAAAGGAAAAGAGAAGACAGCCGGGGTGAAGAAGGAGGCGAGGTAGATAAAAGGAAGGAGAAGGGTGGCGACAAAGGGGAAGCCGGCCGCCATAGCCGGATGGAGAGTTGACCGGGCGTTGACCAGAGTTGACCGGGCGTTGACTGGAGTTGACCGCGCATTGGCAGGAGTTGACCGGGAGTTGACCGGAGTTGACCGGGCGTTGACTGGGAGTTGACGGGGGGTGAGTGCAGCGTTGACCAAGACTGTTGACCATGATTTTGACCAAGCTGGAGCCGGTATAATCTCGCCAAGCCTTCAGCCTATCCCCTCGCCCTATGGATGTGCACAACCCCTGTGGTACTTGCTGAGTCAAGTCTGTTTGTCTCTTCTTTCTGCATCGAGTCTCTTCTATCCAGGTGATAGGACCCTGTGGATGAAGGATAGGGCCTTGTTGACCAAACCCACACGGGCTGAGTAGGGCTAAAGACTGTGTCTGACGACTCGACTGTCCCGGAGGACACGAACCCTCCCAAGGACCGGTACTGACCGGCGGGCTGCTCGGTGTGGCACGGTAGGCCCAAAATCCGAGCTGTGGGCTGCACAACAGGCCATCTAAATCTTGAGAGGACATGCTGATCGCGTCGTCCTGTTTGCGACGTTAAAGAATTCCTGAGGAGTTATGGGGGATCTCCTTAAATGCCTCCTGATCAGCAACAGGTCCTGTAGTGACAGCCTTAGAGTAGGTCTAGGCTAGTGACCCTAGTTGACAGGATCCTGTCCGGATTCTGTCGTCCTTAGATTGAGTCAGTAGGTCGTGCCAGTCGAGGGGGTAGAGTCTAAGTGGTGAGGAGTGGAACCGTTGTTCGGTTGTGCACCTGACACCATGGTTGAGACACGTATTGGCAAGAGCACTGCCCCACAGTCGGAAGCCGAACAGGCACGGATCGCCGCCATCCTGAGAGAGAGAAAGGAGAAGGAGCTCCTCAAACAAGCGAAGTTGAAGGCGATAGCTGAGGARCAGGCGGCGAAGAAGAAGAAATTGGAGGAGGAGATGATAAGACTACATCAGGAGGAGGAATATAAAAAGAGGGCTGCTCAAGAAGAAGCAGCAACAGAGGAGGAAGAAATAGAAGAAGAAGAACCCCTCGAAAGGAGGCGTGGGGGAGAAAGAGGAGAAAGCAGCGGTACGAAAGAAGAAGATAAGTGGATGGAGAAGAAGATCAGTGAGTGGGTAGCTAATTTATCACTGGGGGAAGATGAGGAGGCAATGTTGTACGTGCCTCAAGAGGAGAACGAAGCTATAGCCAACCAGTTCGAGGCTATGGAAGATCCCCTAGATCGCCAGACGCTGGAGGATGCGAAAAGGTTGGAGTGGAAATTGCGTCTGGCAAGGGAGAAGAAGAGGAGGAGGGAGGAGGCCAACCGGGTGGCCAAGGAAGTGAAGAAGATTCAGGCGTGTAGGCAGGAGGTCCAAGCGCAACAGGAAACCCCGACCAAATTAGACAAGATTCTGGGTTATCTTGAGATTTTGAGTCAAGCCTAGCTTGAACAACATCAGCCCAATAAGGGTCAAGAAGTGGCCCTCGGACTGGATTTAGAGAGTTTGCGCGCAACCTGGTGACCCACGTCGGGACCGAAGTCAAAAGGTTAAAGGAAGGTGCAGAGAAGTTTTGTGCAGGCGCCATTGAAGGCGCCAAGGTAGTGGCCACGGCCGAGGCCGAAACGCGTCCCCACAAAGAGCCTGTCAAGCTCAAGTTCCCAGATGCATATGGCGGGAAAGCTGATGAAAACTTCGACAACTGGGAGGCTAGTGTTGATAGCTACGTGTACTTACAACACAGTGCACCTGAGGAGCAGGTTCTGGTAGCCTTCCATGCTCTGAAAGATGACGCGACGAGTTTTGCCATGTCCCTAGCACGCGCAGCCAATTGTGAGAACAACATGGTTGCTTATTCTGAAGTCACCTCCCTTCCCCACTTCTTCAAGCTCCTCTGGGAGTGATTCGCTGACTTGAGGAGTGGTGTTAAGGCCTCAGACAAACTCCAAACCATTCACTCACGACAGTGGAGGAGTGCGCGAGCACTCAAAGTCGTAATGGACGACTTGGTAGCCATCCCGGACCACGGGGTCACTGAGACCCACTTGGTCCAATTGTTTTATCGTGCCATGCCAGGGCCTTACGAGGGCATTTCTTTGACAAGAGTCAACAGCCCACCATGACATACGATGCCTTGAGTAGAGAGGTGGTGCTGTATGAGGCAAAGTCCATGTCAGTGTCCACTTTCTGGCACAAGGACTTGGACAAAGGTAAGAAGTGGAAGGGTCGTACCATCTCAGGTCAGGTCAGGGCCAAGGATCATCTGATCCTTATTTTGGATGGTGGTGGTATTGATGAAGTCCCCTACAGTCAGATCAAGTGGGGGCTAGAGGAGGAGGACAGTGGTATAGGCCAGGGAAGGACCTATGCTGCTGTCGCGGCTGGAGGGAGGCCGCAAGGTAGAGAAGGAGGCCAGGGCCAAAGGGGCCAGGCCATGGGTGGTTGAGGACCGGGCGTGCAGGGGGTTGGCGGCCAAAGGAACCGCCAAGAGGGAGGTAGGGGTCAAGGTCCCCCGTCAAATCGTCAAGGTCCTAGTCAGTCCCCGCAGCGACGAGGTGGAGGATCACCTCAGAGGAGAGGAGGATGGCACCCAGGCTTGCCCCAAGGCAGGCCATGGGAAGATTTGGGCTTGGACCAGCGCGTATGGCAGCAGCGTGTGAGCCAGGGTCAGTGCATATATTGCGGTGACCCGGCCCATATCATTAAATATTGTCCCAAGTATAGAGAGGCCTGATGGGCTGCCCAAGAGTCAAAAGGCAGCCACCGGCAAGGGTTGCAACTACCCCTACTACAAAGCCATGTGGGGAGACAAGCGCATAGGAAACTCCCACACCACATGAGTCTTCGACAGAGATTGCAGGTCAGTGCCTAGCTAGCTGTCCAGAGACTGCTTGTGTTAGGCACTTCCCTCACAGGCGTGGCAGAAGAGTTGAAGTAGAGGATGCTTGCCTAGGCCAAAATGAAGAAGGATAGCAAGGGACAACTGGTCTAGGTTGATGTAGAGGTTTTTAGAAGTAGAGTGGGAGCCCTTATAGATTCAGGGGCTACTCGCAGTTATGTTGGTCGTAGAGCGTTGAAGAAGCTAAGGCTAGGGTTGAAAGTCCAAAAGTTGGAAGACCCCATAGTCTTGGTCCTCGCAGACAACCGCACTATGCATGTTGAGGACTAGGTAGAGGGAGTCCAGGTATATTTCCGCCTAGAGAAGGATGGGAAGTGGAGAGAGTTCTCCATTCCCTGACTCTCATCGTACAAGATGACCTTCCGTCTGACATAGTCCTAGGTATGGACTGGGGAGAGGCAGCAGGCTCCCTAGTCCGTCAGCGAGGTTAAGATGGCCCGTTTGTTTCACGTGTCAGGAATAAACAACACCTTGGCACACTGCTGTCTCAGTGCTCCCGCATTCGCACGATTAGTAAGAAAGGAGCAATTAGAGGAACAGGTCTTCGTAGCTTATGTACAACCTGTCACTGAGCCTAAGGAGGACACACCCATAGATCCAACCATTGCCAAGCTACTGGAAGAGTTCAAGGATTTAGCAGAGCCGCCGATAGGAGTGGTGCCGCGGCCGATCCAGCATCGTATAGAGATAGAGCCTGGCAGTAGGACTCCCAAGGGAGCAGTCTACAGGATGTCCCCAAGGGAGTTAGAGGAGCTGCGTTAGCAGTTAGACGAGCTCCTCGAAAAGGGTTGGATTAGGCCCAGTTCATCTCCTTTTGGAGCACCAGTTTTGTTTCTCCCCCAAAAGGAAGGAGAGTTACGGATGTGCATAGACTATAGGGGTCTAAACGCGATCACAGTAAATAATGTTGAGCCACTGCTCAGGATAGATGATCTCTTAGGTCGAGTGCAGGGCTGCAGATATTTTTTGAAGATCGATCTGAAGTCCGGGTATCATCAGATAGAAGTTCATCCTGATGACCAGTACAAGACTGCGTTCCGGACTAGATATGGGCACTACGAGTTCATAGTGATGCCCTTTGGACTAACCAATGCGCCTGCCACGTTCCAATGTTGTATGAATGATATGTTTAGGCCATTGTTAGACAAATTAGTTGTAGTTTATCTAGATTATATATTAGTATTCAGTAGGACCCTCCAAGAGCATCAGGGTCATTTGAGGCAGGTCTTGGAGAAGCTGAGAGAGGCTAACTTCAAGATCAACGCGAAGAAGTGTGAGTGGGCCAAGACACAAACCTTGTACTTGGGCCACGTCTTAGACGGAGATGACATTAAGCCTGAGGACAGTAAGATAGCGGCGATTAGAGATTGGCCGACGCCCCGCACATTGACTGAGTTGCGGTCGTTCCTAGGCCTAGCTAACTACTATAGGAAGTTCGTGAGGAACTTCTCGACTATCGTCGCTCCCCTTCATAGGTTGCTCAAGAAAGAGGCAATCTGGCAGTGGGATAAAGAAAGTATGTCTGCGCTAAAGAAATTAAAGTGCACGTTAATAGAGTACCCTGTCCTCAAAGTAGCAAATTCGTCCTTGCCATTTGTCGTCACCACGGACGCGAGTCAGTATGGTATAGGCGCCGTGTTACAACAAGACGACGACAATGGCTACAAACCCGTAGAGTTCATGTCAGCGAGGATGCCCTCAGAAAAGGTAGCAACCTCGACATACGAGAGAGAACTCTACGCTTTCAGGCAGACCTTAGAGCACTGGAAGCATTACCTGCTTGGGAGTCACTTCAAGGTGTATTCATACCACGAGACTCTTAGATGGCTGAAGACACAGGCCAAAATGACACCTAAGTTGACTAGGTGGGTCGTTGAGATAGACCAGTACGACTTTGAGCTCAAGCCTGTTAAAGGCAAATACAATGTAGTTGCGGATGCTCTAAGTAGGAGATCAAACGACTTTGGAGCTATAGTTCACTATCTGGACATAGGGAGTGACCTGCAGGAGAGAGTAAGACAGGCGTATGCTCAAGACCCTATTTATGGTGGCCTCCTTAAGAGAGTTACGGAGGCCCCAGAGACCGAACCACATTACCGCACTACAGAAGGATTATTGTTCGAGAAGACCGACGTAGTTGACTGTCTCTGTGTTCCTAACAGCGAGGAGATCCGTAGTTTGATCCTCGGGGAATGCCACGACACAGAGGGACATTTCGGTTGGCAAAAGACTCAAGCCAATCCGATGCATGCGTACACTTGGCCAGGAATGAAAACTGACTGCATAGAGTATGTTTGCAGTTGCAAAGTTTGTCAGAGGAATAAGACAACTACGAGTGCCCCTCTAGGTCTTCTTCGACCCTTGCCTATTCCTGACCAGCCTGGAGATTCAGTCTCCATTGACTTCATGGATGCCGGCGTCAAGAGTAGGCACGGTAAGAGCCAAGTCATGGTCGTAGTTGATAGATTCAGTAAGTATGTTGTTTTTGTTCCATTACCCGCAGAAGCTCGTACTGAGCTAGTCATTTAAAAGTTTCTTGATTTTGGGGTTAGTGAGCATGGAGTACCATTGTCTATCGTTAGTGATAGAGATACCCGCTTTACGAGTCAGAACTGGCAGGAACTGATGAAAGTTTATGGGTCAAAGTTGTTGATGTCATCTGGTCGTCATCCAGAAACTAACGGTAAGACTGAACAGATGAACAAGATCCTGCAACAAGTTCCACGCATGCGCATTAGACCAGATTAAGTCAATTGGGACGAGATGTTACCCAAGGTAGTCAGTCCCTATAATAACAGCGTGCACTTGTCCGCTTGTCGCAATCCCAACAAGTTACACAAGTCCTTTAGACCGCGCAAACCGTTTGAGGGACTTAAACCACCAGTACCTCCGAGCTTGTTTTTGCCGACCCTGAATTTCACTGCGCTCCGAGTTTTGCCGAGCCTGGGTACCACT